ATCTAATTCTTATTTAAGGCAATATCCAGGTAAAATAATCAAAGAAATATATTTATGAGAGTAAATGGTAGATCATTTTAATATGGTTGCATTGAATAAGTCAGCATAATTTACAGGAGGGTGTGAAAGTGGGTATAGGCTAAGTGGTAGAAATAGAAGTTAATGACAACACTGCCATGTAAACAGGTGTTTCTTTTTTTTTTTTTTAAGTTAAGGCTAGTCCCCAAAATTGAAATTTGATATTTTAGTATATTTTATGTAGAGCTTGAGTGGAAAGAATCTTTCTGCTGTTGAATGGCTCAGGTAAAATTTTGTATTCAATATTATGAAGTGCATGGAATTTCCCTCTTTTCCAGACATATTTAACAACTGGCAAAAAGACAAAAAGGGGGTAGGGAGAAAGGGCAGCCCAGGTTACTGAAATTTGTATAAAATGTTAGAAAACTGGCATTACATTTGAAAAGAGCCTTTTGTTTGTTTAAAATAAAAATGCAGAGAAGGCTCTTTAAACTGGACATTAGATTACATGACTGCCATCACCTGAATGCTAATAAAGGGCTTCTACAGTGTGTATAGTCTAATAGGGTGTGTGAGTCATGTTTGTGCTGTGAAATACATTGATCACTGAACTTCACACAGTATTATTACCTTTTAATGGGCTTTGAAGTCAGTGTATTCTGGTTGTTTAAGAATTCAGAAATATGATGTGCTATGAACAAAGTGTATATGTTCTTGGAAACCATAAAATTAAAGAGAAAATAGATGAGAGGATAGTGTATTTCATTAGCGTGTACAACAAATATTGATAAATTAAATATGAACCTAGTGGGCTTGAGACATTGCATTTCATCTTTCTGGCATTATTATACATAGCCTAAGAAGTAATTAACCCATCATGAAAAACATCCAGGGTTGGCTCTTGATTAACTGGCAGTGGTATGATGAATGCAATAATGAGAAGAACATGAGACAGAATGAGGGCTTTGCCACTGGCTTCTTGTATGCCCTGAGCTGAAGACTCCCTCTTTTGGGGTGAGTGGTGCTTAGTCCTGGCAGGATAACTCTGGGGCATGAGAAGCCAGCACATGGCCTAAGGCTTTGGGATTAGACCTGTTCTCAATCCTGTCCCTGCCAATTACCAGCTTTGTGACTGTGAGTGTGTTTTTTTAAACCATTTCAGACTTGGGTTTCTAATCTGTAAAACAGGGTCAAAAATACCTGCATTATAAGCTTGCTATGAGATTATATGAGATGCTTAGTACAGTGCCTGGCACATAGAAAGCACACAATAATTTTTTTCTGTTATTATTATTATAACAAATAAGCATTATAGAGCTAGAATATGATAGTCTATTCCTGTCTTTGCAAAATTTTAATATTTTACGAAATTTCCCTCAAAATAAGGTATGCATAATGGTTTTAAGAAGAGAGAAGGAATAAAAATTCATTTTTAATATTTTTATTTGTTTGCTTCTGAGAGATACCTAAAATAATAACTCCTTTGTCCCTTTGTTACTTTTTGACCTGTGGTGATTCCATATGCTATATTTACAATGTGGTTATTGTTGCATGATATTTATTTATCTAGATATTGAAAGTAAAGACTTTTTTTAACATGTAGAGTATTCCTATTCTCTAGAATATAATCCATCAACTTGGTTTCACTTTTAAGATAATTAAATCACTCTAAAGATAAAACTGTATAAGACTTACTTTGCTTAAATTACAAGTTATTGGCTCAACTGCCTTTGAGATAATTGGATGTCTAAGTAATCTTACTAGGTGAGGAAAATTCCTCATAACTATCTTCTGAACTTCTTTGTATTTCATGTATTCTGTGGTTGCATTCAAGAAGTTTAAAATAGTGGTATTCAGAATGACGAGCAGTTATTATTCTAATGCTATGTCTGCTAAGCCACAGAACTGTCACTGCCTTAATCCAATCCCCCACTATCACTTAGTTGATTGTAGTGCCCTCATAATGCACATCCCAATTCTTTAAGTGTTCTTACTTGAATTTTTTGCTGTTCTAGCATATATATCTAATAGTCTTTGATATTTAGCAACTTGCTGATATACTAACTTCCCTTCTGCACAATTCTGATTCTGTTACTTCCTTGTTAAAAAATCTTCAGTAGCTGCCCATTGTCTGTACAGGGGTGGGAAAAGTAGGTTTACAGTTGTTCATATGGGAAAAAAAATGCAGGTTAATTAAATAATAACACAAGAATAAACTCTGTGTCTCATGTACTCACAATTATAAACCTACTTTTCACCTCCCCTGTATATTCCACTACTTAACCTTTAAATCATTGCCAAGTCCCAGTGTACCTTAGTCAGTTTTGTATGCCAATGTTCTCTTTCATGCAGTATATATGATAGTTCCTGTATGCCTCAGCCCTATCTGGCTAAGTACTAAGGATCTTCTTCCTACAGGTCAACCCTGATTTCTTAAGCTTATCACTTAAGCTCTGGGGGATAAGCTGGAGTACCTGAGATATGCCTACCAAGGTGTAGTCTCCTTCTTGTTCTCCTCCATCATTGAAAATACTTAGCATTAACTCTTGATTAATTGGTAGTAATATGATGAGTGCCATCTGATAAGAACATGGAACTCAGAGAGAGGGGTTTGCCACTAACTTCTTGTCTGCCCTGGGCTAGCTATTCTCTCTCTTTGGGAGAGTGACGCTTAGTCCTGGCAAGATGACCTCAATCTGTAGGGGTGAGTTTCTTTAATTTTCTTCTTAAGCTTTCAGCCTACTAAATTAGGTCATCCTCATTGAACCCTAGCCTTTTGTCTGGGGCTCTGAATACTACCCACTTAATTTTGGCTGTGTATATAAATCACCGTGTTAGGACTCCTGAAAAAATTAAGTGGAAATCTAAACTCCATTCTTAGGTTCTTGCCAGACTCATCTCCTGAGTATCATCACATACATAGTATATTTATTTACCATTGGGCTTCGAATTGTTCTATCCATTCTCTTGCATGTGATTGCTAGCCTGGAATATACTTAAGTTTACCATACCCTAGATTTGGCATCTAGAGCTGGGCCTGGCAAACAAAAGATTCTGGGCCAAATCTAGTCCCCACCCCTGTTTTTTCAAAAATAAAGCCATGTCCACTCATTTATGTATTGTCTATAGTTGTATGACAATGTCAGAGTTGAGTAGTTCCAACACAAACCATACGGCTTGCAAAACCTTAAATATTTACTATCTGATCCTTTATAGGAAATGTTTTCTGACCCCTTATCTAAAACCAAGTAGTTTCCCTAGTCTTGATATTGCTTATTCTTTGATAATTCTTCATTTCCATCTTGTCAACCAGTACATACCCAGAAGGCCAGTCAATAGAGACTAAGATAGGTTCCAGCCCATTCAAACTATGTTTTTAAAAAATATATTCTTAATTGATTTCAGAGAGAAAAGGAGAGGGAGAGAGATAGAAACGGCAGTGATGAGAAAGAATCATTAATTGGCTGCCTCCTGCACACCCCACATTGGGGATCAAGCCCGCAACCCAGATATATACCTTGACCAGGAATCAAACAGTGACCTCCTGGTTCATAGGCCAAAGCTCAACTACTGAGCCACACTTGCTGGGCCAAACTATGTGTTTTAACTTGAATTTCCCTGCTTCTTCTTTGTCACCTTTCTAGAATGGCCTTTCCCTGTGGTTCATAGTGAAAGAAATGACATAATCATAAAGTTTATTACAACAGCCTTATGACATGTTTTTAAAAGTAATATCAGATTCTAATACGAAAGTCTTTCAACATTGACAATATCTTTCAACATGACCTTACAATATATCTATGATTAGATTTTTCAATTCTTCAGTGTCTCTAACATCAGATCTTCTGAACTCCAGAGCTTCCAACATCTCCAGTTGCCAGATATTCTAAATGTTACCACATCCATATCTTTTCACTCTTTCACCTGCAACATCTCCAATGCCAGTGTTTTCTAATGTTCTCAATATTAAGATCATTAAAAATCTAGGTCTTCTAAAATCTCCAACAATAAATCTTTAAGTTATAGGTCTTATCTTTTAGAGTCCAGAATTATAACTTCCAGTTTTACTATATTTCCAGTTATCTATTACCTCCTATATACCTGTCTTCTAGAGCTCATATGTTTCACTGTATCCAAGTGCAGCACTTACATTCTTTAGTTCCTACAACTTTTAATGTCTCCTAAATTCTGATTTTATAATGTCTTATAAAATTAGCAGATTATCCAATGCCCAAGTTTTTCAATATCTTCTAGAACCTGCTCCTTAATCATTCAGGTGTTAAAATATCCCCAATATCTAAGTGACTATGTCTCTTAACATCCTGATCTCTTAAAATCTAGGTCTCTTAATATCCAGGGCTTTCAATATCTTTGACTTACAGCATCATTAAAAGTACATCTCTCAAATTCTATATCTTTTAACTTGAATATGCCAATACTCAGATTTTCCAGTGTCTCCCAATATCCAGGGTTCCTGATTTTAGAATTGCTAAATGTCTAAATCTTCTATTGCCAATACCTTCCAATGTTTAGGATACCCCAAGTCCAGGACTTGCAATGTCTCTAGTGCTCAGGGCTTCTAATATCCATGAATTCCAACATTCAGGGCCTCCAAAGTCTCCAATATCCAGAATAACTAAATATCCTCAAAATCCAAGGCTTCCAATGTCTCCAACATCCTGTGCTTCCAATGTCTCCAATGTCCAGGGTTTCCAATGGCGCCAGTGTCAAGGTCTTCCAACAACTCCAGGTCTTCCAGTAACTCCAAGTCTTCCAACAACATCAAGGTCTTCCAGCTAATCCCAGTCTTCCAGAGAATCCACGTCTTCCAGACAATCCGCGTCTTCCAAACAAACCACGTCTTCCAGACAATCCACACCTTCCAGTAAATCCAGTCTTCCAGCAATTATAGGTCTTCCACAAAATTCATATCTTCCAGGAAAATCCACGTCTTCCAGAAAAATCAGTGTCTTCCAATGATTTCAAGGTCTTCCACACAATCCACATCTTCCAGAAAAATCTAGGTCTTCCAACCAATCTATGACTTCCACCAAATCAAAGTCTTCCAATAAAGCCACGTCTTCCAGAAAATTCATGTCTTCCACTTAATCTTGGTCTTCTGCAAATGTATGTCTTCCTTGAGATCTACGCCTTCCAGTAACCTCCAGGTCTTCCAGCAAATCTACATCTTCCAAACAGTCAAGATCTTCCGGACAATTCGGGTCTTCCTGAAAATCCATGTCTTCCAGAAAAGTCATGGCTTCCAGGAAATCAATATCTTCCAATCAGTTCCAGGTCTTCCAGGCTATCCACGTCTTCCATCAAATCCATGGCTTCCAGAAAATCCACAGCTTCCAGCAAACCCTGGTCTTCCAACAAAGCTGTATCTTCCATCAAATTTATAGCTTCCAGCATACCCACGTCTTCCAACAAAGTGACGTCTTCCAGAAAATCCACGTCTTCCAGAAAATTCATGTCTTCCTACACCTCCAGGTCTTCCAGCATCTCCAGGGCTTCCAGCATCTGCTCGTCTTCCAGCATCTCCATGTCTTCCAGAATCTCCACATCTTCCAGCATCTCCACGTCTGCCAGCATCTCCATGTCTGCCAGCATCTCCACGTCTGCCAGCATCTCCACGTCTGCCAGCATCTCCACATCTGCCAGCAACTCCATGTCTTCCAACATCTCCACGTCTTCCGAAAACTACCCAGTTTTCCAACAATGGGCTCAAAATCCACGTCTTCCGTCTCCAGTGTACCGGTCTTCTAACATTCAGGTCTTCCTGTGTCTACGATATCCAGGTATTCTAACATGTTCCATAGTTCAGGTCTTCCAACCTTTCCCCAGGTCCAGACTTTTCTAAATTAGTCTTTCCAAGTCTATGTTCAGATCTTTCCACAGACAAGTCTTCCAACTCAAATATTCCTGCTTCTAGTAGAACTAGCTTCAGAAAATAGTGGTTTTTGCTATTAGGAAATGTGTATTTATTCTTTACAACTTTTAAATATGTTCATAAAACACCTTCTATAGAATAAACACACGTATGGGATTGCTGTGATAAATTTTGCTACTTTACTAATGCTTATAATTTTTATATAGTCAACTATGTTTAGGTGCAAGTACAGTTCTTATTTTAATGAAAATATTATTGAGAGACTATTATTTTAGCTAAAGTTAACATACAGTGGAAAACATACAGTGTATTTATCCATTTTTATAACATCAATTTTTGTTTGGCCTTATGTGACTAATAAGAATAATAATAATAACATTCAATGTAATATTTACTATATCCAGGCACTGTTCTAAGGTCTTTATATACATCAACTTACTTAATTTTCCCAAGAACCCATTGAGGGTAGGTACTATCATCCCTGTTTTACAGATGAGGAAACTGGCACACAAAGGTGAAGTAACTTGTCCAAAAGACACAACTAATAAATTATTGAGCTAGAATTTGAACCCAACTAGCCTACTTTCAAGTCCATGATTCTAACCACCATATTATAAATCTGCTGTTGAAAATCAAGATGAGAATTATGAGATTCAAAGCTTGATTGTTTTCATTTTATATGGAAACTATTATAAAACCTTATATACAAACGGTCTTACTGTATCTTGTCACTATCAGAACCTATGTGTTTGTATTCATAGATCTTATTCCTTAACCAGCTACTATCAATCCCTTGCTCATGTATATGGGACTAGGCACAAACACTTCTTCATACCATTTTCAATTTGGGTAGAAATACTATGAGAGCACTGAGTTCAAGTACCCTTTGATTTAGAATCATATTCATAACTCCATGCTTTGAGTACTGATGCATGGGATTTAACTCTATCATCTACCTTAATTCCTTATCTCTGACCATTCTCCAGTTTGTCATCTTACCATCTAGACCATTTACCATTACTTTGTTTCTGACCTCCAGGATCCACCTGCTTTAAATGTCACTGAACTCCCAGCATGCTGATCTAGAGAACTACTTGGTTTTCCAAGCCTCAGCTCCTATAAGGAGCTACCCATACCTCTGGTTGGCATTACAAGCATTAAAGCCACATAATGGAATTTTGATTAGGCAAGAAATCTCTAAAGATTTAGAATTATCTACATGGTAATACAAATTAATAATAAAAATAATAATACCTTAAAATGTCTAATGATTTAGTTTACAAAGTGTTGTCACTTCATTCGTTCATTCATGCATTCATCAATTTGTTCAACAAATATTTATTGAGTACCAACTGTGTACTAGGCATATTTTAATGAAACGAAATCATCTGGGGGAAACTATGTTCAAATATTCGAACAAATTTTTGTAAGTCTCATAAGGTCATGAAGGAAAAGTAATATAGGATGCTGTGAGAGTCTGGAAAGTTAACAAAAACATTCCTGAGGAAGTAACATTTATGGTGCCCCAAGGATCTATATTCTCATTTGATTATCACAATAACCTTGTGACTTAGATAAGATGTATGTTTTTACATCAGCTTTAATCTAATCAGAGGTTAAGAAGCAAGTACTAAATATGGGCATGGAATCCATGTATTTTGACCCCCCCATTATTCCATGCTACCTTAAATATATAATAAGTCCAGTTTTGACAATATATATCAAGAGATACAAAAATGTTTTGTACTCTTTGACTTAGTATTTTCACTTCAATGAATTTACTCAAGGGAAATATCTGAAATGTGGATAGCTCATTCACAAAGATGTTCCTCACATAGTTATCTGGTATAGTTAAAAACAGAAAAACCTACAGGTCTAATTTTAAGGGCATAATTAAGTAAATGTGCTATTTCCATATGATGGAATATTACTCCATTAAAAATTTATGGTCTATTTAAGTTATATAATACTAGAGGCCCAGTGCATGAATTTGTGCACCAGTGGGGTCCCTCGGCTTGGCCTGCAGGATCAGGCCAAAACTAGCTCTCTGACATCACCCGAGGGGTCCCGAATTGGGAGAGGGTGCAGGCCAGGCTGAGGGACCCCACCAGTGCATGATTGGGGCCAGAGAGGGGTGCAGGAGGTTGGCCAGCTGGGGAGGGCTCCAGGGCATGTCTGGCTTGTCTCCTTCAGTCCCAATAGGCCAGACCCCAGCAGCAAGCTAACCTACCGGTTGGAGCATCTGTCCCCTGGTGGTCATTGCACATCATAGTGACTGGTCAACCGGTTTACTGTTCCCTGGTGGTCAGTGCACGTCATACCGACTGGTCAACAGGTGGACTGTCTACCTCCTGGTGGTCAGTGCATGTCATAGCGACTGGTCAACCGGTCGACTGCCTGTGTCCTGGTGGTCAGTGCACATCACAGCGAGCAGTTGAGCAGCCTTAGCATATTACACTTTGGTTGAATGGCCTACCAGACGACCCGTAGCATATTAGGCTTTAATTATATAGGATTAAGTTAAATCAGCATGTAGAATTGTATACAGTATGATTGCAATTATTTTAAAATAGAGGCCTGGAGCATGAAATTCTTGCACTTGCGGTGGGGGGAGGGGTCCCTTAACCTGGCCTGTGCCCTCTTGCAGTCTGAGAGCCCTCAGGGGATGCCCGACAGCTGGCTTAGGCCTGCTCCCCTTAGTGCTGCCATGGAGATGGGAGAGGTTCCCGCCACCACTGTTGTGCTCACCAGCTGTGAGCCCAGCTTCTGGTTGAGCAACGTTCCCCCTGTGAGAGCTCACTGACCACCAGGGGGCAGCTCCTATGTTGAGCATCTGCCCCCTGGGGGTCAGTGCACATCTTAGTGACCAGTTGTTCTGCCATTCAGTCGATTTGCATATTAGCCTTTTATTATATAAGATGTATAATCAGACAAATGACTAGCAATAAACCCATTATAGATTGTGACCTAATTTCACTAAGTGGATAGGATAATGTGTGATTTTCATTTACCTTTTTATGTTCTTTTTTCTTCCAAACTTCTTACAATGTGAAAGTGTTTTATATTTCTGAAAAAAATTTAAATGGTGCATAAGACCATTATTTCTTCACCTTTTTATTGCACATATAATCAAGTTTTACTGTTGAAAATACTTTAGAGTATAAGTAAGCACAGTGAAAAACTTAAAATCTAAAATAAACTCAATATTCAGAGATAATGCTATAAAATTTTTGGTGTATGTTCTTCCATACTATTTCACAGGTATTTTTGCTTTATTTTACAAAATGGTATTCTTTTAACCTAATTTTTCCACTTAATAAATTGTACACATCTTTCTATGTCAGTAACTGTGCATCTATATTATAATTTTAATATATTACTTATTTACTTGAGTTTTTTTCCTTTTTTATTATAAAAACTGCTGTGATGAGGACATATGTTGTGCAGAGCACAAACTGCCTCATCTTAGATGGTGGCTCTGTACTTTATTGTGTGCAAATTTACTCAGATATTACTTAAAATAAATTCTTAAAAGCAGAGTTGCTGATCTAAAGGATATGTACAACATAAAGCTTATCACAGCATAAAATTTATAAGTAATCGAGATGTCCAACAATTGGGGTAGATAAATAAAATGATATTATAAGTATATGATGGAATACTATACAGCCATTTAAGTTTATACCACAGAAGAATATTTCCTGAAATGGGAATGTGTTCACAAGATCTCATTAGTGAGAGGAACAGGTCACATGAATGTAAATATATATATACATATATATGTTATTAAATTTTTTTAGAAAGCCCTCACCATTTTGGCTCAGTGGTAAGAGCGCTGGCCTGTGAACTGAAGGGTCTTGGTTTCAATTCAGTCAAAGGCAGGTACCACAGTTGGAGGCTGGGTCCCCAGCCCCAGCCCCAGTCGGGGCACATGTGGGAAAGAACCAATCAATGTCTCTCACATCGATGTTTCTCTCTGTGTGTCTCCCCCTCCCACCCTCTCTAAAAAATAAATAAATAAATAAAATATCCTCGGGTGAGGATTAACAAAAAAACACAGAACAAACAAAAAAAAATTATAGAAAGAAAACTATATAAATGTCCTCAGAAAAATAACCAGAAGAATATACATTAAAATGTTCATAGTAAATGTCCCAAAAGGAAAATGTACAGATTATAGTATATTTACACAATGGAATATTATACTACACCTAAACAACAATAATATGGATGGATTACTTTTGTAATGTTAAATTAAAAGATCAAGTACCAGAAGACTATGTATAACTAGATATCCTTTATATCTTATTTAAAAACAAGTAAAACTAATAACTATAGGGTGTCCCAAAAATGTATACACATACTTTGAATAATTATAAAGGCAGTTTTTATTAAAATGCATTTCATTTTCAAAATCGAGCTATCAGCTGTTACAGTGTGTATACACTTTTTGGGATGTGCTGTATATTATTTAGGCATACATATATATTTTGGGTTAAAATATGTTATTTAAAAAGCCAAGGAATATCAAAAAAAAGTTAGGATAGTGGTCTTTGGAGTTAAGGAAATGGGGCCGCAGTAGGAGAGGATCATAGAAATGGATTGAAGTTATTGTCAGTATTCTAGTGCTCAGGTTCAATGGGTGAGTGGGTGAGTGTTCATTATGTAATTAAAAACATACTATTGACTTTAATAATTGTATGATTATAATGAAAATTAAATAAAGGACAAGTTAATGCATAAAAAACAAAAGAGGGCCATGCATGGATCACTGAGATAATGTGCATGATCTATGATAGCGTACATGAATTATTTATAATCCAGTTTTATGCAATTGAATTTTATGATATTTTCTTTTTTTAAAAAAATATATTTTATTGATTTTTTACAGAGAGGAAGGGAGAGAGATAGAGAGTTAGAAACATCAATGAGAGAGAAACATCGATCAGCTGCCTCCTGCACATCTCCTACTGGGGATATGCCCGCAACCCAGGTACATGCCCTTGACCGGAATCGAACCTGGGACCTTTCAGTCCGCAGGCCGACGCTCTATCCACTGAGCCAAACCGGTTTCGGCAAATTTTATGATATTTTCTTAAGCAATTATCTCTGGGGCTTGGGAATACATGTACTTTTTATTCTCTTGTGGCTTTTTATTCTCTAAATTTTCTGGAAAAGCAAGCCCAAAATTACATAGAATAAGAATCATATCTGTAAAAAAATGCCTAACAGGGACTTAAAAGAAAGTGTTGACATCTTAATAATAATTGCCTCTGTGTAGTGAAATTTCATATAGTTTTTTATGTTTCCTTAGAGTTTTTTTAATCGAAGTGTTATAGAGTGAGATTGTGTTATTTTTTCTGTTACAAAAGTCACATATGCTTCTCATAAAGTTAAAAGGGCAGTAGTATGTAACGAAACAAATAAAAATACCCTTCTCCCAGGCAAGATGATTTATTTGCTCTGAATCTTACAAGAACTTTTTCTGTTTATATGCATGTGTTCTTGTGTGTTTTATAATATGAATCATGCTATACCTACACCAGGTTCTCTAATAATGTTTCATTCAATCTTGTTTTGTTAAAATTGATGAGA